GATCCTCTTCTCTTCACCTGCAGGGAGAGAGACGAGCGGTGCTGAGGGCTGGCCCTGCACCCTGCGCCCCCTGTGCCCAGGCACCCAGCTCCCCCCGCGCCTGGGGCCACCCTACAGGGCAGCTGACAAGACGCCAGGGGACATCGCTCCCTGGCCGTACCCTGAGGCTTGGCTGATCCTTGAACTCATCCGGGGTTTGGCCCCATGACACCCACAGGCGAGGAGTCCCCCCGCTCCTCACTGCCCTTTGTCTCGCTGCTCTTCCTGCAGCTTGGCAATTCAGCAAACACCCAACAATTCCTGTGCAGCAAGCAGCCACGAATTCTCCTTCCCTCTTCACCTTCTCTGCACCATCTTGCAGACCTCCATCAAAACCCACCACTCTGCAGGCTGCAGAGCCCTGTCTGGTTATTCTCTTCCAACCCAGACACCATCCACGCGCTCATCGTTCCTCTCCAAACCTTTTCCCACTTTTCCTCTTCCCTTTCTGCGGTGGAGGGCCAGGGACCAAGCTGTATGCTTGCTGTGGATTCCTACAGCAGCGTAATCACGTTTTCTGTTTGTTCTCCATCCCTCCGTGACAATGCCTAACACCCCTTTGCTTCCTCACTGCTGCCGAGCAGCAAGCTGACATTTTCAGCAAAATATCCCCAGTGCCTTCCTGATCTCTGCCCTGAGTGACAGCGGCTAATCTTGAGCCCACCATTGTGCCTGCAGCGCCAGGGCTGCTCGCCCTGCGTGCATTGCTTTGCATTCATCACCGCCGGCTCTCGTCGCTGTGTTAATCGCGCAGTCACTCACACTCTGGCTCCAGGGACGTTCCTCTCAGAGGCAGTCCTGGCTTAAGTAGCTCTTGTTCCCACAGCTCAGACCCCACTGTGCCAAGCACAACTGATTGCAAGACCCCGGAGTGATGAGATCAGGGAGCTGAGCTGGGTTAAAAACACCTCCTTAATAAAGCACAGACTTAAACCCAGCTCAGTTCTCCAATCTGGGTCCCTGCACAGCACAGCAACCCAGCCCCCCTTGAACGGGAGCAGCAGCTACTTAACCCAGCAGCACCACCGAGCAAAACACGCAGAGCCACGGCCCTGGGGCAGCGAGAGTTTTCTGCAGGTCTCCACGCCTGATGTAAAGTGCTGAACAACACAGAGCCAGCAGCAAACTGCCGCCTCGCTTTACTCCTCATCCCAGAGCAGCCACGCACGCATCCAGCAGCACAACCCAGCAGGGCCCCTGTGACCTCCTTCCTTTGTGAGCACTGACCTTTGTGAGCACTGTGTTCCTGCTTTCTTTTTCTCTGCTCTAAAACTGCTTTTATGCATGAAGATCCTCCCCCAAGGGCTGGTCGGATCCTAGCAGAGGCCACAGAGGCGGTCAGAAGCATCTTGAAAATCCAGACCCACCGGCAGTCTCCCTGCACGCTGCAGGGAGGCATCTCCCAAGAGCGACAGAGCCAGCAGGTCCCTCCAGTCTGCCTCTCCTCTGGACACGTCCCACACACAGCTCACCATGGCCGTTCCCCACTGCGCTCCCGGGCTGATGAGCCCCCCGAGCCCTTCCCTCCCTCACCCCACACGCCTGGGGTCACTCACTCTCCTGCAGGCCGGGCACCAGCTTGTAGACGATGTCCTGCATGACACGGTCCAGCTTGAGGTTGAGCAGCGGCTGTGTCTCGTGGATCTTGGTGTTGCACATGGGGCAGTACTTGCTGGTCTGCAGGTACTTCACGATGCAGCTCTTGCAGACTGCAGCGAGAAGGACGGGATGTCGGAGGGGTCGGGGCCGCGAGACAGCCGGTCCAGCTTGAGGTTGAGCAGCGGCTGTGTCTCGTGGATCTTGGTGTTGCACATGGGGCAGTACTTGCTGGTCTGCAGGTACTTCACGATGCAGCTCTTGCAGACTGCAGCGAGAAGGACGGGATGTCGGAGGGGTCGGGGCCGCGAGACAGCCCCGCACCCCCGGACACTGAGTGTCACCCGGCACCCAACATCCGCCCCCAGCACCCTCGGGCTGGAGCCACGGTCCCAGAGCAGCACAGACACACTGGCAGCTGGGAGAGGCG